TCCTCAGCAGATGGCACCTCAGCCAGCCACTCACACACAGGTACACACACACACAGGTACACGCACACACACACAGGTACACACACACACAGGTACACGCACACACACAGGTACACACACACACAGGTACACACACACACACAGTTACACACACACAGGTACACACACACAGGTACACACACACAAGTACACACACACACAGGTACACACACACAGGTACACACACACACACACAGGTACACACACACACACACACAGGTACACACACACACAGGTACACACACACACCGGTACACACACACAGGTACACAGTTACACACACGTACACACACAGGTACACGCACAGGTACACACACACACAGGTACACACACACAGGTACATACACACACAGGTACACACACACAGTTACACACACACAGGTACATACACACACAGGTACATACACACACACAGGTACACACACACAGTTACACACACACAGGTACACACACACAGGTACATACACACACAGGTACACAGTTACACACACACAGGTACACACACACAGGTACACGCACACAGGTACACACACACAGTTACACACACACACAGGTACACACACACACACAGGTACACACACACAGGTACACACACAGGTACATACACACACAGGTACACAGTTACACACACACAGTTACACACACACACAGGTACACACACACACACAGGTACACGCACACACACAGTTACACACACACAGGTACACACACACAGGTACACACACACACAGTTACACACACACAGGTACACACACACACAGGTACACACACACACACAGGTACACACACACACACACAGGTACACACACACACAGTTACACACACACACACAGGTACACACACACACACACAGGTACACACACACACAGGTACACACACACACAGGTACACACACACAGGTACATACACACAGGTACACACAAAGATCAAACAAAGATCCCCCGTATAGCCTTAACAGACTGTAGGGGCAAGTGCTGTTAGCGAGCACCGGTACACACACACACAGTTACACACACACAGGTACACACACACACAGGTACACACACACACAGGTACATACACACACAGGTACACACAGTTACACACAGGTACACACACACAGTTACACACACACACAGGTACACACACACAGGTACACACACACAGGTACATACACACACACAGGTACACACACACACACACACAGTTACACACACACAGGTACACACACACAGGTACATACACACACACAGGTACACAGTTACACACACACAGGTACACACACACAGGTACACACACACAGGTACACGCACACACACAGTTACACACACACACAGGTACACACACACAGGTACACACACACAGTTACACACACACAGGTACACACACACACTTACACACACACACACAGGTACACACACACACAGTTACACACACACAGGTACACACACACACACAGTTACACACACACAGGTACACACACACACAGGTACACACACAGACAGTTACACACACACAGGTACACACACACAGTTACACACACGCACACAGGTGTGTGTGTGTGTGCGCTCTGCACTGTGGTGTGGTCACTTTAGGGAGCGTCGCGGCCACACCTTGTTGTGTCCAGCATCACTGGCGAGGCATGGGGAGAGAGAAGAGAGGAGAAGGGGGAGGTGGTGATGGTGGTGGTGATGGTGGTGATGGTGATGGTGGTGATGGTGGTGGTGGTGATGGTGGTGGTGATGGTGGTGGTGATGGTGGTGATGGTGGTGGTGGTGATGGTGGTGGTGATGGTGATGATGGTGGTGATGGTGATGGTGGTGATGGTGGTGGTGATAGTGATGGTGATGGTGGTGATGGTGATGATGGTGGTGATGGTGGTGATGGTGGTGATGGTGGTGATGGTGGTGATGATGGTGGTGGTGGTGATGATGGTGGTGGTGGTGATGATGGTGGTGGTGGTGATGATGGTGGTGGTGGTGATGATGGTGGTGGTGGTGATGATGGTGGTGATGGTGGTGATGGTGGTGATGGTGGTGATGGTGGTGATGTTGGTAGTGATGGTGGTGGTGGTGGTGATGGTGGTGATAGTGGTGGTGATGGTGGTGGTGGTGGTGGTGATGGTGGTGGTGGTGATGGTGGTGGTGATGGTGGTGATGGTGGTGATGTTGATGTTGTTGATGGTGGTGATGTTGATGTTGTTGATGGTGATGTTGATGGTGAGTCACATCAGTAGCCAGAGGATGACGAAGGTTATGACACTGGAAGAGGCGAACTGGGGGGTTGAAGGTGTGGGGGGGACATGCACGGTGGGGCAGTGGACACGTGTGTGGGTGTGTGTGTGTGTGTAAGTGTGTGTGAACACGTGTGTGTAAGTGTGTGTGTACACGTGTGTGTAAGTGTGTAAGTGTGTGTGTACACGTGTGTGGGTTTGTGTAAGTGTGTGTGTGTACACGTGTGTGTGTGTATACGTGTGTGTGTACACGCGCGTGGGTTTGTGTGTGTACACGTGTGTGTGTGTAAGTGTGTGTGTAAGTGTGTGTGTACACGTGTGTGTGTACACGTGTGTGTGTAAGTGTGTGTGTACACGTGTGTGTGTACACGTGCGTGTGTGTGTGTAAGTGTGTGTGTATAAGTGTACACGTGTGTGTACACGTGTGTGTGTGTGTAAATGTGTGTACACGTGTGTGTATATGTGTGTGTACACGTGTGGGTGTGTGTGTGTAAGTGTGTGTACACGTGTGTGTGTGTATATGTGTGTGTGTAAGTGTACACGTGTGTAGGTGTGTAAGTGTGTGTAAGTGTACACGTGTGTGTTTATGTGTGTGTAAGTGTGTGTATATTGGTGTGTTTGTAAGTGTGTGTGTAAGTGTGTGTATATTGGTGTGTTTGTAAGTGTGTGTGCACGTTTGTGTAAGTGTGTGTGTATGTATATTGGTGTGTGTGTATGTAAGTGTGTATGTATATTGGTGTGTGTGTGAGTGCGTGTATGTATATTGGTGTGTGTGTAAGTGTGTGTATGTATATTGGTGTGTGTGTGTGTAAGTGTGTGTATATTGGTGTGTGTAAGTGTGTGTGTGTATATGTATATTGGTGTGTGTGTATATGTATATTGGTGTGTGTGTATTGGTGTGTGTAAGTGTGTGTGTGTGTACATGTGTGTGTGTGTATGTATATTGGCGTGTGTGTAAGTGTGTATATTGGTGTGTGTGTAAGTGTGTGTGTACGTGTGTGTAAGTGTGTGTGTACGTGTGTGTAAGTGTATGTGTATGTATATTGATGTGTGTGTAAGTGCGTGTATGTATATTGGTGTGAGTGTGTGTATGTATATTGGTGTGTGTACGTGTGTGTGTGTATGTATATTGGTGTGTGTATATTGGTGTGTGTAAGTGTGTGTATGTATATTGGTGTGTGTATGTATATTGGTGTGTGTATGTATATTGGTGTGTGTGTGTAAGTGTGTGTATGTATATTGGTGTGTGTGAGTGTGTGTATGTATATTGGTGTGTGTACGTGTGTATGTATATTGGTGTAAGTGTGTGTATGTATATTGGTGTGTGTGAGTGTGTGTATGTATATTGGTGTGTGTGTGTGTACGTGTGTATGTATATTGGTGTCAGTGTGTGTATGTATATTGGTGTGTGTGTGTACACGTGTGTGTGAAGTTTGTGTGATTGTGCCTGTACGTATGTGTGTACACATGTGTGTGTGTACACATGTGTGTGTACACGTGTGTGTGCGTACACGTGAGTGTGTGTACGTGTGTGTGTGTGTGTGTACGTGTCTAACACAGCGGATTGTTGACCAACAACAACACCGCCGTGGTGTGAACATGAACCCATTGGAGACACTTGGAGATGCAGGGAGATGCAGGGAGAGAGACAGAGAGATGCAGGGAGATGCAGGGAGAGAGACAGGGAGATGCAGGGAGATGCAGGGAGAGAGACAGGGAGATGCAGGGAGAGAGACAGGGAGATGCAGGGAGATGCAGGGAGAGAGACAGGGAGAGAGACAGGGAGAGAGACAGGGAGATGTGAACCTTTATAGCAGCAAAAGTTGAAGTCTCCAAATGCAACACGGCCATCGTGAACCCCCCGAGAGAGAAACCCAGACCCAGTGTTGAACCCAGGCTCTCAGTGTCTCTGACACGGCCATCGTGAACCCCCTGAGAGAGAGACACCCAGTCCCAGTGTTGAACCCAGGCTCTCAGTGTCTATGACACGGCCATTATGAATCTCCAGAATCTAAATCAGACTGCATTATCACCATCATATTAATCAGCGTTACGATATTAGCATCAAAATCACCATCAACAATGATATCAAAATCACCACCACCAACATCACTACTACCACCATCATTATCACCACCATCATCACCACCATCACCACCACCATCACCACCACCACCAACATCACCACTACCACCATCATTATCACCACCATCATGAACACCATCACCACCACCATCACCACCACCATCACCACCACCATCACCACCACCACCACCATCACCACCACCACCACCACCATCACCACCACCACCACCATCACCACCATCACCACCATCATCACCACCATCACCACCACCACCACCACCAACATCACTACTACCACCACCATCACCACCACCATCACCACCATCACCATCATCACCACCATCACCACCACCACCATCACCACCACCATCACCACCACCACCACCATCACCACCACCACCATCACCACCACCACCACCATCACCACCATCACCATCACCACCATCACCATCACCACTACCATCACCACCATCACCACCACCACCACCATCACCACCACCACCACCATCACCACCACCACCACCATCACCACCACCACCATCACCACCACCACCACCACCATCACCACCACCAACACCACCATCACCATCACCACCATCACCATCACCACCATCACCACCATCACCACCATCACCACCACCACCACCATCACCACCACCATCACCTGCCAGGCCTCGAGCTCCTGACTGAGATCGACCTTCTGCTGGATGGCGTCCAGCAGCTGCGAGTTGAGGGCCATGAGGTCGATCTTACAGACGGCCAGCTCCATCTCTAGCACACTCCTCCTGGGGGGTGGGGCACGGGGGGGGGGGGGTGGGACACGGGGGGGGGTGGGACACGGGGGGGGGCACGGGGGGGTGGGACACGGGGGGTGGGACACGCGGTGACGCTGATGACGGTGACACTGATGACGGTGACGCTTATGACGGTGATGCCGGTGACGGTGATGACGGTGACGCTGATGACGGTGACGCTGATGACGGTGACGCTGATGACGGTGACGCTGATGACGGTGATGACGGTGACGCTGATGACGGTGACGCTGATGACGGTGATGACGGTGATGCTGATGACGGTGACGCTGATGACGTTGATGACGGTGACGCTGATGACGGTGATGACGGTGACGCTGATGACTGTGACACTGATGACGCTTATGACGCTGATGACGATGACGGGGATGCTGATGACTGTGACGCTGATGACGGTGACACTGATGACGGTGACACTGATGACGGTGACACTGATGACGGTGACGCTGATGACGGTGACACTGATGACGGTGACACTGATGACGGTGACTGATGACTGTGAAGCTGATGACGGTGACGCTGATGACGGTGACGCTGATGACGGTGACACTGATGACGGTGACACTGATGACGGTGACTGATGACTGTGACGCTGATGACGGTGACGCTGATGACGGTGACGCTGATGACGGTGACGCTGATGACGCTGATGACGGTGACACTGATGACGGTGACGCTGACGACGGTGGCTTTGGCGATGACGGTGACGCTGATGATGGTGACACTGATGACTGTGACGCTGATGACTGTGACGCTGATGACGGTGACGCTGATGACGGTGACGCTGATGATGGTGATGCTGATGACTGTGACGCTGATGACGCTGATGACGGTGACACTGATGACGGTGACACTGATGACGCTGATGACGGTGACGCTGATGACGGTGACGCTGATGACGGTGACGCTGATGACGGTGATGACGGTGATGCTGATGACGGTGACGCTGATGATGTTGATGATGGTGACGCTGATGACGGTGATGACGGTGACGCTGATGACTGTGACACTGATGACGGTGACGATGGTAACGTTGATGACGGTGACGATGGTGACGTTGATGACGGTGACGCTTATGACGGTGACGCTGATGACGGTGATGACGGTGATGCTGATGACGGTGACGCTGATGACGTTGATGACGGTGACGCTGATGACGGTGATGACGGTGACGCTGATGACTGTGACACTGATGACGCTGATGACGCTGATGACGATGACGGGGATGCTGATGACTGTGACGCTGATGACTGTGACGCTGATGACGGTGACACTGATGACGGTGACACTGATGACGGTGACTGATGACTGTGACGCTGATGACGGTGACACTGATGACGGTGACGCTGATGACGGTGACACTGATGACGGTGACACTGATGACGGTGACTGATGACTGTGAAGCTGATGACGGTGACGCTGATGACGGTGACGCTGATGACGGTGACACTGATGACGGTGACACTGATGACGGTGACTGATGACTGTGACGCTGATGACGGTGACGGTGATGACGGTGACGCTGATGACGGTGACGCTGATGACGCTGATGACGGTGACGCTGATGACGGTGACGTTGATGACGCTGATGACGGTGACACTGATGACGGTGACGCTGACGACGGTGGCTTTGGCGATGACGGTGACGCTGATGATGGTGACACTGATGACTGTGACGCTGATGACTGTGACGCTGATGACGGTGACGCTGATGACGGTGACGCTGATGATGGTGATGCTGATGACTGTGACGCTGATGACGCTGATGACGGTGACACTGATGACGGTGACACTGATGACGCTGATGACGGTGACGCTGATGACGGTGACGCTGATGACGGTGACACTGATGACGGTGACGCTGATGATGGTGACGCTGATGATGGTGATGCTGATGACTGTGACGCTGATGACGCTGATGACGGTGACACTGATGACGGTGACACTGATGACGCTGATGACGGTGACACTGATGACGGTGACGCTGATGACGGTGATGCTGATGATGCTGATGACGGTGACGCTGATGACGGTGACGTTGATGACAGTGACGCTGATGACGGTGACGCTGATGACGCTGATGACGCTGATGACGGTGACACTGATGATGGCGACACTGATGACGGTGACGCTGATGATGGTGACACTGATGACGGTGACACTGATGACGCTGATGACGGTGACGCTGATGACGGTGACGCTGATGACGCTGATGACGGTGACGCGGATGACGCTGATGACAGTGACACTGATGACGCTGATGATGGTGACACTGATGACGGTGACACTGATGATGGTGACACTGATGGCGGTGACACTGATGACGCTGATGACGGTGACACTGATGACGGTGACACTGATGACGGTGACACTGATGACGCTGATGACAGTGACACTGATGACGGTGACACTGATGACGGTGACGCTGATGACGGTGACACTGATGACGGTGATGATGGTGATGCTGATGACGGTGACACTGATGACGTTGATGACGGTGACGCTGATGACGGTGACGATGGTGACGCTGATGACGGTGATACTGATGACGGTGATGATGGTGACGCTGATGACGGTGACACTGATGACGTTGATGACGGTCACGCTGATGACGGTGACGCTGATGACGGTGACGATGGTGACGCTGATAACGGTGACGGTGACACTGATGACTGTGACGCTGATCACTGTGACGCTGATGACGGTGACGCTGATCACTGTGACGCTGATGACGGTGACGCTGACGACTGTGACGCTTATGACGGTGATGCTGATAATGGTGACGGTGACACTGATGATGGTGACACTGATGACTGTGACACTGATGACGGTGACGGTGATGATGGTGACGCTGATGACGGTGACACTGTTGACTGTGACACTGATGATGGTGACACTGATGACGGTGACACTGATGACGGTGACGCTGATGACTGTGACGCTGATGACGGTGACGCTGATGACGGTGACGCTGCTGACGGTGACGCTGATGACGCTGATTACGCTGATGACGGTGACACTGATGTCGGTGATGACGGTGATGCTGATGACGGTGACGCTGATGATAGTGACGCTGATGACGGTGACGCTGATGACTGAGACACTGATGACGGTGACACTGATGACGGTGACGCTGATGACTGTGACGCTGATGACGGTGACGCTGATGACGGTGACGCTGATGACGGTGACGCTGATGACGCTGATGACGGTGACACTGATGACGGTGATGATGGTGACGCTAATGACGGTGACGCTAATGACAGTGACACTGATGACGGTGACGCTGATGACGGTAACACTGATGACGGTGATGATGGTGACGCTGATGACGGTGACACTGATGACGCTGATGACGGTGACGCTGATGACGGTGACGATGGTGACGCTGATGACGGTGACGCTGATGATGGTGATGCTGATGACTGTGACGCTGATGACGCTGATGACGGTGACACTGATGACGGTGACACTGATGACGCTGATGACGGTGACACTGATGACGGTGACGCTGATGACGGTGATGCTGATGATGCTGATGACGGTGACGCTGATGACGGTGACGTTGATGACAGTGACGCTGATGACGGTGACGCTGATGACGCTGATGACGCTGATGACGGTGACACTGATGATGGCGACACTGATGACGGTGACGCTGATGATGGTGACACTGATGACGGTGACACTGATGACGCTTATGACGGTGACACTGATGACGCTGATGACGGTGACGCTGATGACGGTGACACTGATGATGGTGACACTGATGGCGGTGACACTGATGACGCTGATGACGGTGACACTGATGACGGTGACACTGATGACGGTGACACTGATGACGCTGATGACAGTGACACTGATGACGGTGACACTGATGACGGTGACGCTGATGACGGTGACACTGATGACGGTGATGATGGTGATGCTGATGACGGTGACACTGATGACGTTGATGACGGTGACGCTGATGACGGTGACGATGGTGACGCTGATGACGGTGATACTGATGACGTTGATGATGGTGACGCTGATGACGGTGACACTGATGACGTTGATGACGGTCACGCTGATGACGGTGACGCTGATGACGGTGACGATGGTGACGCTGATAACGGTGACGGTGACACTGATGACTGTGACGCTGATCACTGTGACGCTGATGACGGTGACGCTGATCACTGTGACGCTGATGACGGTGACGCTGACGACTGTGACGCTTATGACGGTGATGCTGATAATGGTGACGGTGACACTGATGATGGTGACACTGATGACTGTGACACTGATGACGGTGACGGTGATGATGGTGACGCTGATGACGGTGACACTGTTGACTGTGACACTGATGATGGTGACACTGATGACGGTGACGCTGATGACTGTGACGCTGATGACGGTGACGGTGATGACGGTGACGCTGCTGACGGTGACGCTGATGACGCTGATTACGCTGATGACGGTGACACTGATGTCGGTGATGACGGTGATGCTGATGACGGTGACGCTGATGATAGTGACGCTGATGACGGTGACGCTGATGACTGTGACACTGATGACGGTGACACTGATGACGGTGACGCTGATGACTGTGACGCTGATGACGGTGACGCTGATGACGGTGACGCTGATGACGGTGACGCTGATGACGCTGATGACGGTGACACTGATGACGGTGATGATGGTGACGCTAATGACAGTGACACTGATGACGGTGACGCTGATGACGGTAACACTGATGACGGTGATGATGGTGACGCTGATGACGGTGACACTGATGACGCTGATGACGGTGACGCTGATGACGGTGACGATGGTGACGCTGATGACGGTGACGCTGATGATGGTGATGCTGATGACTGTGACGCTGATGACGCTGATGACGGTGACACTGATGACGGTGACACTGATGACGCTGATGACGGTGACACTGATGACGGTGACGCTGATGACGGTGATGCTGATGATGCTGATGACGGTGACGCTGATGACGGTGACGTTGATGACAGTGACGCTGATGACGGTGACGCTGATGACGCTGATGACGCTGATGACGGTGACACTGATGATGGCGACACTGATGACGGTGACGCTGATGATGGTGACACTGATGACGGTGACACTGATGACGCTTATGACGGTGACGCTGATGACGCTGATGACGGTGACGCTGATGACGGTGACGCTGATGACGCTGATGACGGTGACGCTGATGACGCTGATGACGGTGACACTGATGACGCTGATGATGGTGACACTGATGACGGTGACACTGATGATGGTGACACTGATGGCGGTGACACTGATGACGCTGATGACGGTGACACTGATGACGGTGACACTGATGACGGTGACACTGATGACGCTGATGACAGTGACACTGATGACGGTGACACTGATGACGGTGACGCTGATGACGGTGACACTGATGACGGTGATGATGGTGATGCTGATGACGGTGACACTGATGACGTTGATGACGGTGACGCTGATGACGGTGACGATGGTGACGCTGATGACGGTGATACTGATGACGGTGATGATGGTGACGCTGATGACGGTGACACTGATGACGTTGATGACGGTCACGCTGATGACGGTGACGCTGATGACGGTGACGATGGTGACGCTGATAACGGTGACGGTGACACTGATGACTGTGACGCTGATCACTGTGACGCTGATGACGGTGACGCTGATCACTGTGACGCTGATGACGGTGACGCTGACGACTGTGACGCTTATGACGGTGATGCTGATAATGGTGACGGTGACACTGATGATGGTGACACTGATGACTGTGACACTGATGACGGTGACGGTGATGATGGTGACGCTGATGACGGTGACACTGTTGACTGTGACACTGATGATGGTGACACTGATGACGGTGACGCTGATGACTGTGACGCTGATGACGGTGACGCTGATGACGGTGACGCTGCTGACGGTGACGCTGATGACGCTGATTACGCTGATGACGGTGACACTGATGTCGGTGATGACGGTGATGCTGATGACGGTGACGCTGATGATAGTGACGCTGATGACGGTGACGCTGATGACTGTGACACTGATGACGGTGACACTGATGACGGTGACGCTGATGACTGTGACGCTGATGACGGTGACGCTGATGACGGTGACGCTGATGACGGTGACGCTGATGACGCTGATGACGGTGACACTGATGACGGTGACGCTGATGACGGTGACGCTGATGACGGTGACGCTGATGACGCTGATGACGGTGACACTGATGACGGTGATGATGGTGACGCTAATGACAGTGACACTGATGACGGTGACGCTGATGACGGTAACACTGATGACGGTGATGATGGTGACGCTGATGACGGTGACACTGATGACGCTGATGACGGTGACGCTGATGACGGTGACGATGGTGACGCTGATGACGGTGACGCTGATGATGGTGATGCTGATGACTGTGACGCTGATGACGCTGATGACGGTGACACTGATGACGGTGACACTGATGACGCTGATGACGGTGACACTGATGACGGTGACGCTGATGACGGTGATGCTGATGATGCTGATGACGGTGACGCTGATGACGGTGACGTTGATGACAGTGACGCTGATGACGGTGACGCTGATGACGCTGATGACGCTGATGACGGTGACACTGATGATGGCGACACTGATGACGGTGACGCTGATGATGGTGACACTGATGACGGTGACACTGATGACGCTTATGACGGTGACGCTGATGACGCTGATGACGGTGACGCTGATGACGGTGACGCTGATGACGCTGATGACGGTGACGCTGATGACGCTGATGACGGTGACACTGATGACGCTGATGATGGTGACACTGATGACGGTGACACTGATGATGGTGACACTGATGGCGGTGACACTGATGACGCTGATGACGGTGACACTGATGACGGTGACACTGATGACGGTGACACTGATGACGCTGATGACAGTGACACTGATGACGGTGACACTGATGACGGTGACGCTGATGACGGTGACACTGATGACGGTGATGATGGTGATGCTGATGACGGTGACACTGATGACGTTGATGACGGTGACGCTGATGACGGTGACGATGGTGACGCTGATGACGGTGATACTGATGACGGTGATGATGGTGACGCTGATGACGGTGACACTGATGACGTTGATGACGGTCACGCTGATGACGGTGACGCTGATGACGGTGACGATGGTGACGCTGATAACGGTGACGGTGACACTGATGACTGTGACGCTGATCACTGTGACGCTGATGACGGTGACGCTGATCACTGTGACGCTGATGACGGTGACGCTGACGACTGTGACGCTTATGACGGTGATGCTGATAATGGTGACGGTGACACTGATGATGGTGACACTGATGACTGTGACACTGATGACGGTGACGGTGATGATGGTGACGCTGATGACGGTGACACTGTTGACTGTGACACTGATGATGGTGACACTGATGACGGTGACGCTGATGACTGTGACGCTGATGACGGTGACGCTGATGACGGTGACGCTGCTGACGGTGACGCTGATGACGCTGATTACGCTGATGACGGTGACACTGATGTCGGTGATGACGGTGATGCTGATGACGGTGACGCTGATGATAGTGACGCTGATGACGGTGACGCTGATGACTGTGACACTGATGACGGTGACACTGATGACGGTGACGCTGATGACTGTGACGCTGATGACGGTGACGCTGATGACGGTGACGCTGATGACGGTGACGCTGATGACGCTGATGACGGTGACACTGATGACGGTGATGATGGTGACGCTAATGACAGTGACACTGATGACGGTGACGCTGATGACGGTAACACTGATGACGGTGATGATGGTGACGCTGATGACGGTGACACTGATGACGCTGATGACGGTGACGCTGATGACGGTGACGATGGTGACGCTGATGACGGTGACACTGATGACGGTGATGATGGTGACGCTGATGACGGTGACACTGATGACGTTGATGACGGTGACGCTGATGACGGTGACGATGGTGACGCTGATAACGGTGACGGTGACATTGATGACGGTGACGCTGATGACGGTGACGCTGATGACGGTGACGATGGTGACGCTGATAACGGTGACGGTGACACTGATGACTGTGACGCTGATCACTGTGACGCTGATGACGGTGACGCTGATGACGGTGACGCTGATGACTGTGACGCTGATGACGGTGACGCTGATGACGGTGACGCTGATGACGGTGACGCTGATAACGGTGACGGTGACACTGATGATGGTGACACTGATGACTGTGACACTGATGACGGTGATGATGGTGACGCTGATGACGGTGACACTGTTGACTGTGACACTGATGACAGTGACACTGATGATGGTGACACTGATGACTGTGACACTGATGACGGTGACGCTGACGACTATGACGCTGACGACTATGACGCTGATGACTGTGACGCTGACGACTATGACGCTGATGACTGTGACGCTGATGACGGTGACACTGATGACGCTGATGACGGTGACGCTGATGACGGTGACGCTGACGACGGTGGCTTTGACGATGACAGGGATGCTGATGACTGACGCTGATGACTGTGACGCTCATGACGGTGACGTTGATGACGGTGACACTGATGATGGTGACGCTGATGACGGTGACGCTGATGACGGTGACGCTGATGACGATGAAGCTGATGACTGTGACGTTGATGACGGTGACGCTGATGACTGTGACGCTGATGACGGTGACGCTGATTACGGTGACGCTGATGACGCTGATGACGGTGACACTGATGACGCTGATGACGGTGACGCTGATGACGGTGACGCTGATGACGGTGACGCTGATGACGGTGACGCTGATGACGCTGATGACGGTGATACTGATGACGGTGATGACGGTGACGCTGATGACGGTGACGCTGATGACGGTGACGCTGATGATGGTGACGTTGATGACGCTGATGACGGTGACGCTGACGATGGTGACGCTGACGATGGTGACGTTGATGACGGTGACGCTGACGATGGTGGCTTTGACGATGACGATGACGCTGATGACGGTGACGCTGATGACGGTGCCTTTGACGATGACGACGACACTGATGATGGTGACGTTGATGACGGTGACTCTGATGACGGTGACGTTGATGACAGTGACACTGATGACGGTGACACTGATGACGGTGATGCTGATGACGGTGACGCTGACGACGGTGACGCTGACGATGGTGACGTTGATGACTGTGACGCTGATGACGGTGACGCTGATGACGGTGACGCTGATGACGGTGACGCTGACGATGGTGACGGTGATGACGGTGACGTTGATGATGTTGACGCTGACGACGGTGGCTTTGACGATGACGACGACGATGTCCCTACTTGTTGATGGCGTCGTCGCGCTCTTGCAGTGCCCTCCTCAGAACCTCCTCCGAGTCCTCCTCATCGCTCCCCCCTCTCCTCCTCCTCCTCCTCCTCCCCGTGTCTCCCTCCGCCTCCGCCTCCTCATCCTCCTCCTCCTCGTCCTCGTCGCCTCTCCACCTCATCACCTCTGCCTGGAGCCGCTCCTTCTCCTCCCGCGCAGAGGCCAACTGCAGTGAGCAGACGGCCAGCTGTGTACACGGTGGGCGAGATGTTAACTCCATCGCCTGGTACGCAGGAGGTCGTGGGTTCCCATCCCGTGACTCTGAGGCCTGCTGCTGTGTATTTGGTACCTTGAGATGTTAACTCCATTGCCTGGTACGCAGGAGGTCGTGGGTTCCCATCCCGTGACCATGACAACGCCTGCTGCTGCTGCTGTATTTGGTACCTTGAGATGTTGACTACCTCGCCTGGTACGCAGGAGGTCGTGGGTTCCCATCCCGTGACCATGACAATGCCTGCTGCTGCTGCTGTATTTGGTACCTTGAGATGTTGACTACCTCGCCTCGTCTCCAGGAGGTCGTGGGTTCCCATCCCGTGAGTCTGAGGCCTGCTGCTGCTGCTGTATTTGGTACCTTGAGATGTTAACTACCTCGCCTGGTACGCAGGAGGTCGTGGGTTCCCATCCTGTGACCATGACAACGCCTGCTGCTGCTGCTGTATTTGGTACCTTGAGATGTTGACTACCTCGCCTGGTCTCCAGGAGGTCGTGGGGTTCAATCCCGTGACTCTGACGCCTGCTGCTGCTGCTGTATTTGGTACCCTGAGATGTTGACTACCTCGCCTGGTCTCCAGGAGGTCGTGGGTTCCAATCCCGTGACCCACGCCTGCTGCTGCTGCTGCTGCTGCTGCTCTATACTTGGTACCTTGAGATGTTAACTCCATCGCCTGCCACGCGGGAAGCCGTGGGGCTCCCATCGCTTCAAGCAACCGCGTCGCCGTGCCTTGCGAGAGCCAAGTCCGGGCAGCGGTGGTCCACTCCCTCCGCCAACCACCCCCCCCCCCCCTCTCCCTCCCCCCCCCCTTACTGCCGAGGCCTACGATAAAAACGTCGTGCCTGACGGCAAAACGCCGTCACCGGTTACGCTTTCTGCCTGCCCCTTTTTAAATTTCACGTCTCGCCCGTCACGCCAAAGCGTCCGGTTCGCGTTCATTTTGATTTGAGCGTGCCGATCTTTTTGAAGGGGGGGCATTCGAACGCAACGCCGAAGCTAACCGCCCGCCGCTCCCACCCCCCCCCCCGGGCCGTTGTGAAAATTCGGCCACGGTCGCCCAATGATCCGCTGCCGCGTCGCTTCTGCGGCTTTATCCTGGTCCGTGTTTGCCGTAGTACGGAGTTTGGACCGGCGGACTTAATCCAAGTTGTCTGGTTGTGGTTGTTGTTGTGGTTGTTGTGGTTGTTGTTTTTGTTGTTGTGACTTCGCACCCCACCGGGATTTCCGCGTACAGAGCGTCGGTGGTGCGCCCGGTGCTTTTTCGTCTGGAAAGATTTCCCGAGGCTGGAGGCTTTCGTGACTGCGAGGATGCACACTCTTTGGCTTTGTTGGGCAGAGTCACGTAGAGGGTTAAAGAGACGGAAGCTCGCTTTGCCTCCGACACGTCGTGATTTAATGGTTTCACGTTTTTCTCCCGGGGGTTTTTTACCGCTTCACGCAGTCAACAGGCGGTCACTTTAAGATATTCTCGGTTCTTCCGGTAAGGTCACGGTGAAGGGAAACAATAAAATAGTAAAATATATTTTTTAATTATTTTATTGTTTCCCTTCTACGTGGTGGTGACTTTACCCAAAGAGCCAAGAATAATAATTTTATTGTTTTAGAATTATTTTATTGTTTTATATTTTTATTATTTTATTGTTTCCCTATCTACGTGGTGGTGACTTTACCCAAAGAACCAAGAATAATAATTTTATTGTTTTACAATAATTTTATTGTTTTATATTTTTATTATTTTATTGTTTCCCTATCTACGTGGTGACTTTACCCAAAGAACCAAGAATAATAAATTTATTGTTTTACAATAATTTTATTGTTTTATATTTTTATTATTTTATTGTTTCCCTTCTACGTGGTGGTCACTTTACCCAAAGAACCAAGAATAATAATTTTATTGTTTTATATTTTTATTATTTTATTGTTTCCCTTCTACGTGGTGGTGACTTTACCCAAAGAGCCAAGAATAATAATTTTATTGTTTTACAATAATTTATTGTTTTATATATTTTTTATTATTTTATTGTTTCCCTATCTATGTGGTGACTTTACCGAAAGAACCAATAATAATAATTTTATTGTTTTACAATAATTTTATTGTTTTATATTTTGATTATTTTATTGTTTCCCTTCTACGTGGTGGTCACTTTACCCAAAGAACCAAGAATAATAATTTTATTGTTTTACAATAATTTTATTGTTTTATATTTTGATTATTTTATTGTTTCCCTTCTACGTGGTGGTCACTTTACCCAAAGAACCAAGAATAATAATTTTATTGTTTTATATTTTTATTATTTTATTGTTTCCCTTCTATGTGGTGGTGACTTTACCCAAAGAACCAAGAATAATAATTTTATTGTTTTACAATAATTTTATTGTTTTATATTTTTATTATTTTATTGTTTCCCTATCTACGTGGTGACTTTACCCAAAGAACCAAGAATAATAAATTTATTGTTTTACAATAATTTTATTGTTTTATATTTTTATTATTTTATTGTTTCCCTTCTACGTGGTGGTGACTTTACCTAAAGAACCAAGAATAATAATTGTATTGTTTTATATTTTTATTATTTTATTGTTTCGCTATCTACGTGGTGGTGACTTTACCCAAAGAACCAAGAATAATAATTTTATTGTTATATATTTTATTATTTTATTGTTTCCCTTCTACGTGGTGGTGACTTTACCCAAAGAACCAAGAATAATAATTTTATTGTTTTACGATAATTTTATTGTTTTATATTTTTATTATTTTATTGTTTCCCTATCTACGTGGTGGTGACTTTACCCAAAGAACCAAGAATAATAATTTTATTGTTTTACAATAATTTTATTGTTTTATAGTTTTATTATTTTATTGTTTCCCTTCTACGTGGCGACTTTACCCAAAGAACCAAGAATAATTTTATTGTTTTATATTTTTATTATTTTATTGTTTCCCTATCTACGTGGTGGTGACTTTACCCAAAGAACCAAGAATAATAATTTTATTGTTTTACAATAATTTTATTGTTTTATATTTTGATTATTTTATTGTTTCCCTTCTACGTGGCGACTTTACCCAAAGAACCAAGAATAATAATTTTATTGTTTTACAATAATTTTATTGTTTTATAGTTTTATTATTTTATTGTTTCCCTTCTACGTGGCGACTTTACCCAAAGAACCAAGAATAATTTTATTGTTTTACAATAATTTTATTGTTTTATATTTTTATTATTTTATTGTTTCCCTTCTACGTGGTGGTGACTTTACCCAAAGAGCCAAGAATAATAATTTTATTGTTTTACAATAATTTTATTGTTTTATATTTTTATTATTTTATTGTTTCCCTTCTACGTGGTGGTGACTTTACCCAAAGAACCAAGAATATGAATCACTGCAGTCACGAAAGCTTTAAATCAAAATTTCACTTTAAGATGTTTAGTCTTGCTCGTGTTGTTGTGTTTGTGTTTGTTAAGGTTGCACCAGATTCAAGAGCCGAATGGCTCACAGGGGCTCCATACCAAAATAAATGAAACTGAAAACTGATTCGTCCCCTCCCTCCCTCCCTCTCTCCCTGCCTCCCTCCCTCCCTCTCTCTCTCCCTCCCTCTCTCCCTCCCTCCCTCCCTGCCTCCCTCCCTCTCTCCCTGCCTCCCTCCCTCCCTGCCTCCCTCCCTCCCTGCCTCCCTCCCTGCCTCCCCTCCCTCCCTCCCTGCCTCCCTCCCTCCCTGCCTCCCTCCCTCCCTGCCTCCCTCCCTGCCTCCCCTCCCTCCCTCCCTGCCTCCCTCCCTCCCTGCCTCCCTCCCTCCCTGCCTCCCTCCCTCTCTCCCTCCCTCCCTCTCTCCCTCCCTCCCTCCCTGCCTCCCTCCCTCCCTCCCTGCCTCCCTCCCTCCCTCCCTCTCTCCCTCTCTCCCTCCCTCTCTCCCTCCCTCCCTCCCTGCCTCCCTCCCTCCCTCTCTCCCTGCCTCCCTCCCTCCCTCCCTGCCTCCCCCCCTGCCTCCCCTCCCTCCCTCCCTGCCTCCCTCCCTCCCTGCCTCCCTCCCTGCCTCCCCTCCCTCCCTCCCTGCCTCCCTCCCTCCCTCTCTCCCTCCCTCCCTCCCTGCCTCCCTCCCTGCCTCCCTCCCTGCCTCCCTCCCTGCCTCCCTCCCTCCCTCCCTCTCTCCCTCCCTCCCTCCCTGCCTCCCTCCCTCCCTGCCTCCCTCCCTGCCTCCCTCCCTCTCTCCCTCCCTCTCTCCCTCCCTCCCTCCCTGCCTCCCTCCCTCCCTCCCTGCCTCCCTCCCTGCCTCCCTCCCTGCCTCCCTCCCTCCCTCCCTCCCTCTCTCCCTCCCTCCCTCCCTGCCTCCCTCCCTCCCTCCCTCTCTCCCTCCCTCCCTCCCTGCCTCCCTCCCTCCCTGCCTCCCTCCCTCCCTCCCTGCCTCCCTCCCTCCCTGCCTCCCTCCCTCCCTGCCTCCCTCCCTCCCTGCCTCTCTCCCTCCCTGCCTCCCTCTCTCCCTCTCTCCCTCCCTCCCATCTCTCCCTCCCTCCCTCCCTCTCTCCCTCCCTCCCTGCCTCCCTCCCTCCCTGCCTCCCTCTCTCCCTCCCTCCCTCCCTCTCTCCTCCTCCCTCCCTGCCTCCCTCCCTCCCTCCCTCTCTCCCTCCCTCCCTGCCTCCCTCCCTCCCTGCCTCCCTCCCTCCCTCCCTCTCTCCCTCCCTCCCTCCCTCCCTCCCTCCCTGCCTCCCTCCCTCCCTCCCTCCCTCCCTCCCTCCCTCCCTCTCTCTCTCCCTCCCTCCCTCCCTGCCTCCCTCCCTGCCTCCCTCCCTCCCTCCCTCCCTCTCCCTCTCTCCCTCCCTCCCTCCCTGCCTCCCTCCCTCCCTCTCTCCCTCTCTCCCTCCCTCCCTGCCTCCCTCCCTCTCTCCCTCCCTCCCTCCCTGCCTCCCTCCCTCCCTGCCTCCCTCTCTCTCTCCCTCCCTCCCTCCCTCCCTCCCTCCCTCTCTCCCTCCCTCCCTCCC